TGTTACACTCTTCAAGAGCTTTCATTTGAGTACCCACTTGCATTTTTTATATATTTTTCATATATACATATATATAATATATATGAAAAATTGATGTGGGTACTCAAATAAAAGGTCTTGATGATTGTAACATCAGGATGAGCTTATATCTATAAAAATGTCAATAATTAAGAAATGCCCTTTACTTTCTTAACTAATAACATTTTTAAAGATATAAGCTCATCTTGATGTTACACTCATCGAGATCTTTCATTTGAGTACCTACATCAATTTTTCATATATTTTGTATATTTATATATATTATATGTATGTATATATGAAAAATATATCAAAAATGCGTGTGGGTACTTAAATGGAAGCTCTTGTTGAGTGTAACATCAGGATGAGCTTATATCTTAAAAAATGTCAATAGTTAACAAAGTAAAGTGCATTTAAACAAATATCTTGTGAACTATTGATATTTTTAAGGATATAAGCTCATCCCGATGTTACACTCATCGAAACCTTTCATTTGAATACCCACATCAATTTTTCATATATTTATATATATTATATATATGTATATATGAAAAATATATCAAAAATGCATGTGGGTACTCAAATGAAAGCTCTTGATGAGTGTAACGTCGGGATGAGCTTATATCTTTAAAAATGTAAATATTTAAGAAAGTACAGTACAATTTAACAAAATTCATTATTTAATAAAACAAAATTTTATTTATTTTTAATTTATTAAGATGATTTTTGTTTATAAACAATCTTCATATATAATTTACCGCCCACGTGTTTTTTATTTTTAGCGCCAAATTATGATGGCCGACATTAGTTCTGCGCAAGCGCTTCGTGAAACTCCAAATAAACCCGAGTGTATCCGATCGCAAACGCGAATGCCTGCTGGATAAAGAGTTATTTATATTTACTGTTGTATCCACGTGTAAAAAAATATATTAACAACGATAAAAATCACTACAATATGTCATTAACCAGCTTGGATAAGTTTAATAAGCGTGCAAGTATTGCGGTAAGTCATTTAGACATTAATATTGATAAACTAACTCTAAAATTTATTTACTTTTGGATTTATTCTGTGCCGACAGTATGTTGAGGTTAATTGTATTTATTTCAGGAAAGCGAGATCGAGTATTTAAAAAAAGAAATCGAACAATTGAAGCTTGCTCTGCAGTCACGCTCGCGAGTTTCCGAACAGCCTAATGTCAGTGAGTTGGTCCAGGAGAACGCTAAATTGAAGCACCGGGTCACGATTATGAATCGAGTTAGTACTTTGTTTTTTTTTTTTTTTTTTTTTTATATAGAATTTTTATATAAAATTAATTTATCTATTTTTTTTATTACTCAGTACGTAGATTCATTGCGTCAGAAAGAATCTAGCAGTAAAAATACAATGGATAGCCAAAAAATGCCGAGTATAAGTACCCAGCTGGAAGAATTATTCCGGGAAGCTATTAAAAAATCTTATTCAGAAGATCTACCGGTTGTTATTTCTGCTTCTGGTAATCCAAAATTCGGAGATTATCAATGTAACACTGCGATGGAATTGTCTAAGCGACTTAAAAAATCAGGTGAACTATTTATTACTTGAAAAAATTAATATTTTTTAATAGCAACCTTGCAGTCACTTTGTCACTGCCGTGATTTATATAAACTATAAATAAATAAAATTTTGCTTTATTAAATAATGACTTTTGTTAAATTGCACTGTACTTATTTAACTATTGACATTTTTAAAGATATAAGCTCATCCTGATGTTACACTCATCAAGAGCTTTCATTTGAGTACCCACATGCATTTTTGATATATTTTTCACATATACATATATATAAATATATAAAATATATGAAAAATTGATGTGGGTACTCAAACGAAAGGTCTCGATGAGTGTAACATCGAGATGAGCTTATATCTTTAAAAATGTCAATATTTCACAAGATACAAGGTCATTTCTTAATTATTGACATTTTTAAAGATATAAGCTCATCCCGATGTTATACTCATCGAGACCTTTCATTTGAGTACCTACATGCATTTTTGATATATTTTTCATATATACATGTATATAATATATATAAATATATAAAATATATGAAAAATTGATGTGGATACTCAAATGAAAGGTCTCGATGAGTGTAATGTCAAGATGAGCTTATATCTTTAAAAATGTCAATAGTTCACAAGATACAATGTCATTTCTTAATTATGTATCTACATAAATTTTATCATATGATCAAACTGGTCACAAAATTTTACTTATTCTCTTAATAATATTGATGATACTAAAATTAAAATTAATTTTTTTTAAATAAATTACTATTCAAATAATTAACTATCAAATTTTTATTTCTTTAAAATTCTCCAAAAATAAATAAATTCCATTATTCCAGGAGTTACAGAAAATCCTTTCGAAGTAGCCACCAAAATAGTCTCCAACATAATCTCGTCGCCTTTGATAGACCGTCTGGAAGTAGCCAAGTCTGGTTTCATAAACATCTACCTCAGCCGAGACTTCAGCCGCTCAATTTTAAAAAACGTGATAAAATCCCGTAGAGTCTTTCCCCCGGAGGTAAAAAGTCTGCGAGTAGTCGTCGACTTCTCCAGTCCTAACATCGCGAAGGAGATGCACGTGGGCCACCTGAGGTCCACGATCATCGGCGAAAGTTTAAGCCGTCTTTTAGAATACCTAGGCCACGACGTGCTGCGCTTGAACCACGTCGGCGACTGGGGTACCCAATTCGGGATGTTAATTGCCCATTTGCAAGACAAGTTCCCCGATTACGCCACAGTCTCTCCCCCGATTTCCGACCTCCAGGGCTTTTATAAAGAGTCCAAGAAGCGCTTTGACGAAGACGAAGAGTTTAAGAAGCGAGCCTACGCCTGTGTTGTAAAATTGCAAGCAGGAGATCCGGAAATTACCAAAGGTTGGCAATTAATTTGTGACGTTTCTCGGAAGGAGTTCGATAATTTGTACCGAAGGTTGGATATTAAATTAATTGAACGCGGGGAGTCGTTTTATAACAAGATGATGATAGAAGTCGTCAAGGAGCTGGAGGATAAAGGACTGCTTGAAGAGGACGAGGGTCGGAAGATAATGTGGGGAGAGAAGCCAAACTCTGGAATTCCTCTGACGATAGTTAAATCCGATGGAGGGTTTACTTATGACACCTCCGACATGGCGTGCATTAAACACAGGATCCATGTTGAAAAAGGCGACTGGCTGATTTATGTGACCGACGCTGGACAAGCTGGACACTTCCAGCTGATTGAAAGCTGCGGCAAGAGAGCTGGATATGTTAAGCCTGAGACTAGAGTTTCCCACGTGGGATTCGGCGTGGTTTTAGGAGAAGACAAGAAGAAATTTAAGACCCGCTCTGGAGATACTGTAAAACTCTTGGACTTGCTGGACGAGGGACTTAAGAGAGCCCTGGACAAGCTTATAGAAAAGGGAAGGGATAAAGAATTGAATGAAGAAGAGCTTAGGGCGGCGCAAGAAGCAGTGGCTTATGGGTGTATTAAGTATGCTGACTTGTCTCATAATAGGAATCATGAGTACATTTTCTCGTTTGATAAGATGTTGGAAGATAGAGGCAATACTGCTGTCTATTTGCTGTATCAGCTGACCAGGATTAGGTCCATTGCGAGGAACGCTAAAGTTTCCGAGGAACAAATTAAATCGGCGGTGGATTTGACGATGATATCGCTGGAGCATGAAAAAGAATGGAAGTTAGCCAAGGTCTTGATTAAGTTCCCGGATGTTTTGCTTAAGGTTACTAAGGACTTGGTCTTGCACCCCCTTTGCGAGTTTTGCTATGAATTGTCTTGTGCGTTCAGTGAGTTCTATGACAAGTGCTACTGCGTGGAGAATGTCAATGGGGAGATGAAGGTTAATATGGGCAGGATTTTATTATGTGAAGCTACTGCGCTGGTTTTGGAGCAGTGCTTTTATCTTCTTGGACTTAAACCTGTTGCTAAAATGTAGATTTGAAAGGAGGAAATTAAAATTAATGAATTTTTAGTTTTAGAATTATTAAAACATCACCTAAAATATTTATGAAGAATTTTTTTTTATTTAAAACAATTTTATTTGTAAAAAACTACAAGTGCAATTTTAAAAAAAATTTTTTTCTAATTTTTTCAATAAAAAAAAAAAAATAAAAAACGGCTAACTTTATTATTATACATATTTATAGTAATAAAGTTAGCCGAGGTTTTTAATTTTTTAATTAAACTTAAATAATATTTTTTTTTTTAATTGGACTTTTAGTTTTTAACAAATGAAAAATTTTTTTTTATTTTTTTGTAATGACTTTTTAAATGGCTAACTTAATTTTCATAAATATTTTTAATCGGTCATATTTTCAGCAATTAAAAAAATTCTTTATCGAATTAAAAATATTAAAATGAGATTTTTATTTAAATAATTTTATAAGTTATTTATAAAAGTGATAATATGGAAAAATTATCGCTGTTGAGAAAAGATGTTTTGATTGACATGACATTTATTATCTGTCATATTTTTAAAAAGATTTTGATAAACTGATTTTTATTTTTTTCATATTTTTATCAAGGATAAAAATACACTGTAAAAAATATTTTTAATTCGATAGTTTGCTTTAAAATATTGACACTAAATTTAATAATTTTTTTTTTCACTTTAAAATTTGTAACAATAAATATTTAATGTGTGAATAAATTTTTGTAAGATGACAAAGTTGATCATTTTTAACTTTTTTTAACAAAAAAATTATTTTTAAAAAATTGCATTTTTAGTTTTTTAGTCATAATTTATTAATGCTAAATTAATTTTTATTTTAATAAGAGCAACATCTTTTTTACTAATTAAAAAAGAAACTAACCTTTAAACTAAAAAAATAGACGCCACCTACCGTCAGTTTATAAACTAAACTCCCTAGAAGTAGGAAGTTTAAACGATTGTCAAGTCGAAGTTCACAAAGGAGAACAGACGTCAGTTTAATATTTTGTTTTGTGATTTAAATTTTGGAGTACAAATTAAAATAAAAAAAATCTTAGCAATAGTTAATTAATTAATAAATAAATAAATAAAATGGCGAAAGATGAAGGTGATGATTTACTGCCCGACAAAGATGCTGCTAAAGGATTTTACGCCAAGTATGAACCCAAAGAAATTCTCGGAAGGTTTGTTTATATTTATAATATTTTTATTTTTATTCTTTTTTTTTTAAATTATTTTTTAAAAAATTCCTTCATGCATTTTAATTGAATAAATTAATGTTAAACAATTAAAATAATTAAAAAAAAATTTTAAATGACACTTTTAATAAATTATAACCTAAAATAAAATTACATAATTATATAATTAACTACGTCTTAGCCCTTTGTTTAAATAATTGACAACTGTCACGTGTTTATTTGTATAAATATATATATTTTGTTTTTTAAAAGATAATTGTTCCTGATTATTAATAATTGACTCTAATTGTTCAATAAAAAATAAATAAATAGTCAATGGGAATTTTTTCAAGCTTGTTTATTAATTTTATTATTATTTTTCAGAGGAATATCCTCGACTGTGAGGAGATGCATTGAAAAGGAAACAGGAATTGAGTATGCTGCTAAAATAATAGACATTAGCAATGAAACTCATGATGGTGCTGAAGGTCACACGATGAAAGAAGCCACTTTGCAAGAAGTTAATATTCTAAGACGGGTTGCAGGACATCGTTATATAAGTAATTAAAAAAAAAAAAAAATAATTTCTGGTGTTAGTTTATTAATTTTTAATTTTATTATTAATTTAATTACAGTTGAACTACACGATGTATTTGAATCAAGTACATTTATATTTTTAATATTCGAACTGTGTAAAAATGGAGAATTGTTTGATTACTTAACATCTGTTGTAACGCTATCGGAAAAAAAAACTCGTTATATTATGCGGCAAGTATTTGAAGCTGTTTTACATATTCATAATCAAAGCATTGTTCATCGTGATTTGAAACCTGAAAATATTTTGCTGGATGACAATCTTAATGTTAAAGTCACGGATTTTGGCTTCGCAAGAATTTTAAAGCCTGGAGATAAATTATTTGGTGAGTTTTTAAAATTTTTTATTAATTATCAGGGTCAGAATTTTTGGATTAATTTTAAAATAAAAATTTTTGATACTAAGGCGAAAATATTGGGCGTATAAAAAAAAATATTTTGGAATAAAAGTTGTTCAAAATTTAATTTTATTAAAAAAATGCCTCAATTTTTTAAGACCAATAACAAAGCCACAATTTTAAAAATTTACATTTTTATAATTAGCTAAAATTTTAATAACTTCACGGAAAGAACAAGAAGACACTGTAAATCATTCTAAATTATACTCAGTGATATCTGTGGTGAAAAAAAATTTCAGATAGTATTTAAAACAATATTTTTGTATCCTAATATCTAAAATATCACTGAGTATAATCTGGGATGATACCCAGTGTCATCTTGTTCTTTCCGTGTTATGAAATTTATTTGAGTAATTATAGTGAAAATATTGGTCGTATAAAAAAATTGAATTAATAAGTAATTAAAAAAATTAAGAGACATTTTTTTTTTTAATTAAATATTGAACAATTTTTTTTTTTTAATCAATTAATGATATTTTATTAATTTTTAGATTTATGCGGAACTCCTGGATACTTGGCGCCGGAAGTATTAAAATGTAACATGTTTGAAAACGCGGAGGGTTACGGATGTGAAGTCGACGTGTAATTATTAAATTTAATAATTACTTATTTATCTACAAGTACCATCATAAAATAAATTAATAAGGTGTATTTTAATTAATAGATGGTCATGTGGTGTAATAATGTTTACATTATTAGTAGGATGCCCGCCGTTTTGGCACCGCAAGCAAATGGTAATGCTCCGAAATATTATGGAAGGTAAATATTCGTTCACGTCCCCAGAGTGGGCAGACATTACCGAAGCTCCCAAAGATTTAATAAGGAAATTGCTGGTCGTCGATCCTACCAAGCGTTTGACGATAAGAGAAGCGCTTGACCATCCCTTCTTCCACACCGTGGTAAGATTAAGTGAATATTAATTAATAATTATGATTACCTGAATTTTATAAATTTTAATACCTCAATACAAGGTATCAAGTATTGAAGCTTTTTAATAAGCTACTGCTATTTTATGTCTACTTAAAACTTCTTAAAATTTTAATTTTTCATTTGTATTTATGTTTTATTTTTTTTTTTTTTTTTAATGGTTTATGGGTTTAATAGACACTTTATTTACTTTGTTCTTTTATTTTGTTTGTTATCTATCATTTATTACAGCTATGGGACCAAGACATTGCACCTCTCAAGCGTTCTCTATCTTCTAACTCGCGACGTCTTAGTAGGATTTCTCAATTAGCTTTGGTAATTTATTATTTCCTCCAAAACTTTTTTTCTTTTACTAATAATTCATTTCATCCTTTATCGATGATTTATTTTATTTTATTGTTATTATTTTTTATTGCATTTTTTTTTTTTAATAACTAACCCCAGTCACCAGAGTGCGACGTGACGCGAATAAAATGTTTTCCAACTCTAAATTTTTATTTTAAAATCCACAGGAATTAAAAGCTAAATCGTTCAACGCACGGAAGAGATTTCAATTGGCTGTTCTTTGTGTACGTGCTGTAGTACGTATCAGGAGACTTCACACAACTCCAGAGCCTCTGTCTACATTGATTGCCCGAGAAGATCCCTACAGAATTAAAGTTTTGAGAAAGGTAATTTTCATTTTTTTATTCTAGCTAAAAAAAATTTATTTTTTAACGACAATAATAATAATAATTACTAGAAAACTTGTAGTCACTACGTGACTGCCGTGACTTGTGAAATATAAATAAATAAAATTTTGCTTTATTAAATAATTTTTGTTGAATTGCACTGTACTTTCTTAAATATTGACATTTTTAAAGATATAAGCTCATCCCGATGTTACACTCATCGAGAGCTTTCATTTGAGTACCCACATGCATTTATGATATATTTTTCATATATTCATATATATAATATATATATAAATATATGAAATATATAAAAAATGCATGTGAGTACTCAAATGAAAGGTCTCGATGAGTATAATATCGGGATGAGGTTATATCTTAAAAAATGTCAATAGTTCTCAAGATACAAGGTCATTTGTTAATTATGTACCTAAAGATAGAGAATTTTCGAATGCAGCCTATATACTTATCATAATAAATTTTCCTTATTCTCTTAATAATATAGATTATAATTATTTTTTTATTTATTGAAGGTAATAGACGGATGCGCCTTTAGAGTGTACGGTCATTGGGTGAAAAAAGGCGAAGGACAAAACCGAGCAGCCCTTTTCGAAAACACAGCAAAGACGGAACTGAAGCATCTATATGTCAGTAATTTAAGTAGATAGCTGGCTCTAATAGATAATTCTACTCCTATTCCTTTTAGATAATTGTTTATTTTTCTTCCTTTTTTATCAAATTAAATAATGAATGTTAGAAGTTTGTATAAATATCTTAAATATTTTTATTATAGTTAACTCAATTGACTATTTTTTAGAATCAGTGCTCTTTAATCATAAGACTAAATAATTATTTGTAGGTTTGTTTATTTATTCTAGTCAATTTGTCAATAGTTGTGTGTACTGGCGAAAAAAGAAATTTTTAATAAATTTGTCAATTTTAAATTAGTCAAAAAAAATTTTTAAAATTGTATGTAAATAAATATTATTAAATTAAGGGATTTTTTAGAATTTTTTTTAACAAGTGAATAATTAACAATATTATTAAATTAGAACCAAAAAATATTTTTTAAAAATTGTTGTTAATCAATGTAGAATCAATTAATTTAATTGTTAAATAAAATTATAAATTGGTCAAGTGACAGCTAACTTTAATCTCATTAAAAAATTGTACTTATAGTTTTTTACAAATTAAATTTTTTTTTTAATAAAAAAAATTGTTAAAATTTTTAGATGTTGGCTAACTTAATTTTCATAATTATTATTAAAAAAAAAAAAATTATTAAATTGTAAATGTAATTTTTTATAAATAATTTATTTATTAAATAAATAAAAAAAAATAATCAAATTTTTAAACAAAAATAATAAATTAAAAAATTTGAATTTTTCGCGGGAAAATTCAAAAGTAAACAACAAAGATGGCGTCGGCAATATATTTAAGTGGTGGTATAATTTAAAACCCGGCAACGTCGCATTAGCGATCCATGTGACAGAGAAGGAGGATGACAAAAGGTGGTACTGGTGGTAGAAGGTAGAAGCGGGTGACGCCGCAGAGCGCTCGCGAATTAAACGAGTGAGTATTTGCCCGGGCGAGCCGCGAGCCGGGCTGATCGTATCGGGTGTGTTAGTGTTGTCAGTGCGTCTTTATTTAATGTACAGTGTCTACAGTATGTCGGTAATCACGTGAATTGGACAATTGTCTGGATAGTCTGCAGCAGTAACAGTTACATCACAAATATTTAAATAAAAACTCCGAGTAGAGGAGTTACATCAACACTTGGCGTGGCCGATGAAGGACCTACGTCGCTGCAGTCACCGAGCTGCAATTAAGCCGTTGAATAAATACCCAGTTGATAATACAATCAAAAACCTGGACCAGGATTTATTATTTATTTATTTAATAAATATTCTTCAATAATTACAATTACAATGAAGAATTACAATTGAGCATCAAGGCAGTGTAGTGTGGTGGTAATAGTTAGTGAAATAAATAAAAAAAATAACTAAACATAACAGAGAATATTATCCAGCTTGTCGTGGAGAGAGTGAGAGTGTATGAGCCGGCTGTGAGATTAACAAAGACAGCAGACACTCGGACACTTATGCTACACGCCCAGGCCGTATTGCTGCGTCACATGGGCCGCGTTCATTGGTCGATAGAGCACCGTGACGTCACAAAAGCGAGGATGATTGGCTAAAACTCCGGGTCCCGGACACGTGAATCGTGGCCAAGCAAGCATGGCTGTTGATGCGCAGTGGTTAACACTTGTAAAATGTTTCTGCCACGCGCCAGATCGATCAGGTTAACGTGATTCCGATGCTTTTTTTAAAACAAACTTCCTTGTCACTAAAATAAATAAAATAAATGGAGTTATTGCTTGAGGTACTTTTTAATAATAATTATTATTATTATTAATTTACAGATAATAGTTGGTGAAGAAGATATATTGTGACAGTAATAATTGTGATCAGTGAGAGCTATTTGATCGACAGACAGATACACAGACAATTACTACCTTATATATAAAGATTAGTGAGCCAACACATGCTCGGGTTATCTCAACAAAAATACCGCGTGTCAAAGTGTCATTTTCAGTTGGTGTGTAATAATAACGTCAAAAATAAATAAACCGGAGAAGGGGAAAAAATAAAAAAATAAATTAAAATTCCAATTGGGAAAAAAAAAAAATATATATATATATATATATAAAGAAAGGTTTGAAAGAGCGACACGAAGCACGTTGAGCGAAAAAAAAAATTTAGCCTTCAGCTGGGATTGATTTCTCCTCTCGTGAAAGTGCCCGAGCTAAGCGCGCGTAGCGGTTCCATTGTGTTGTATGACTCAGACGCAGAGACTTGTCATTTGTAAGTTTTTAACTAATATTTTTGCAATATATGTTGAGTTTAATTGCAGATACTGTAGACAGTTGTATACTGAATGACACTGAGGTTAGCAGACGTTTAAAAAATTTTTTAAAAAATTGCACATGTAGTTTTTAAAGTTTTTAACATGTGACATTTTTTTTTAATTGAAATTTTTTGGATAAAAATTTTTAAATGTCAGCTAACTTGATTTTTTGGTGTTGAGTGTGTAATTTATAATTTTGGTGGTGTTTTAAGTGTACCACGCCCGTTAACACCGTCATACGCATCAGCCGTGAGCTATTATCTCCGTACATACATATCCTCGGTTCGTCTATTTAATTAACATGTGTATAGGTGGTTGCGTGGCGTGTTTTCTGTGCCATAATACGGCTAACCAATCCTCGGTTATTTCTTCTCGTGACGTCATCAAGCACTAAGCATTGCCATTGGTGGAAAGTGCATGCGTCGGTTCGGATCTCTACGTGCTCGCGCTGATATGAGTCGAGGACCCAGGCTTTGTCAATTCAAGTAGCCCGCTTGTCTTTATTTATTTTTATTCCACTCTTTTCTTCTTCTTCTTCTTCTTCTTCTTCTTCTTCTTCTTCATTATAATCTTTAGCTTTAGCTTTATCTTTCTGGGTTGGCTACTCGCTTAGGATCAATCGTTTATCTCCTATCGGTACCCGTCACTTTTAAATATCATTTAATTTTCAGACTAGACTGGTGATACTAAGGATAGGTGGATAGGAGGTAGTTGTGATCTGCGTGGGGCTGCGTCCGTTTCACGATACGTCGCCTTTTTAGCTCGGGTTACCTATTTTTGCACCCAGCGTGTCCCACACCGAATAATCCAACGTTCACTCTACTCTGATGATGTGTTATGTATGTACAACCCATCCCTACTCTAGATCTTCACTTATGTTGTATTACATTACACGAGTGAACCGTCAAGCTGATTGTGTTCTGAAGGATTAATTTTTTAAAAAACTCTGGGTGGTTAAATTAATTAATTTTTATTAAATTCTAGGTCTGCTAAATAAAGAATATAATTTTTAAGAGGGTAATTGTCAAATTAAGAAAAATTTTTTTTATTAATTAAATTGCAATTAAAAAGATATTTTTAAAAAATTGCACTTATAGTTTTTCAAGTTTTTTACAAGTGCAATTTTTATTTTTAATTTTTTAATTATATTTTTTTCAATAAAAAAAAATTCTAAAAATTTTTAGATGAAAACTTAATTTTCATAGTTAGCTGACATTTCAAAATTTTTAAAAATTTTTTATTGAAAAAATTTCAATAAAAAAATTAAAAAAAAAAAAAAAAATTGCACTTGTAAAAAACTTGAAAAACTATTGAAAAACTAAGTGCAATTTTTTAAAATATCTTTTTAATTGTAATTTAATTAATAAAAAACTTCTAGATCTGCTGAATAAATAAATAAACTAGAAAAAGGAGCTACGATACTGTTGTAGGTGATATCTCTTGAGAATCGCATCGAGTTGACCGTTGCCAAGTGTGAAGAAGGCCTTGCAATCGGTCGAGCAACTCCGTGCCAGCTTTAAGTGGGAGTAAATTTAACATTTATTGTTATTTTTAATCCAAATAATTGTTATTATTGCTCCGAACGTCATGTCACTGGTGACTAAATGGATAATATTATTTCAATAGCTTATGTTGTATCATACTTAGACCGAGCACGTGCAACAACCACGTGTTGTTTTATAACAATACAAATATTTGTTGTTTAGCTCCTAATTGCTGGAATGAAAAAATATAAATTACAGTGGGGAATTTTAAAAAGACCAGATGTAGATGTATAAATGTACTTATGTATAGTGAGACACATTTAGTTTGGCGGTATGAAAATGCAGGCAAGCGAAACGTTTCGTGTGTCGCGCTTGCGCGACCGGTACTCTTCAATGAGGACGTTAAAAAACAGCACTGACATATATATGTATGTATGTATGTATGTATATATATATATATATATATTATAAAGAATAGAAGGAGTAAGACGGATATAATAGAGCGTAAGGCGAAAAGAAAGGATGAATAATATTTTACTCACGTTGTGTCAGATCGCGTCACGTCTTGCAAATGGTCACGTGACTCCGTCGTCGTTTTTCTAGAGATAGTCGACGGTTTTGTGGTCGTCGTCGGTTGTTTAAATTTTGTTTGTTGTCTTTGTTATCCGTCACGCGGCACACCGGCAAATTTATTAAACTATTTTTATTTCCCAGATGGCAATCCTCTTATTAAATTGCTGCTCCACTTAATGACAATTAATTCCATAATTAATACCGAGCTTTTGTCTTGATAAATAAATAAATAACTCTCCCTATTTAATTAATATATATTATTTAATTAATCAATGCATTTTAATTGACATAAATCATGTCAGTGCTTAAGGTTATCTATTTAATTTTTTAATTTTTTTTTTTTTTTACAGATTTTGGTTTGTGACAGCCGAGCTTTTATTGATTTTTATTAAAATCAAAAGCTAAAATGAGTCTCGAAACACTTTTGGAAGCAGCACGTTACGTTGAACAGCAAGAGAAGAAGAGGGAACGTGCTGCAAGTACATCCTCTTCTTCGGATCACTCTTTTGCCGTAGCACCTTACTCTAATCATCACAATTCTAATGAACCACGTGGTAAGTCAACAAGTTGATTTTATTCTATTTTTAAAGACAAACTAAACACTTTATTTTTAAGTTACGTAATTTTATTTTTATTTAATAATATAGTACTCCAATTTTTTTTTCTTAATTTTGAATTGCAATAAAAATTGTTGTTTTTGCTTAATTTTTAATTAAAATTAAAATAAACATTAAAAATATTATTTTTAATAAAAATTATAATTATTTTTTTTATCTTAATTTTTATGAAAAAAATAAACAATTAAAAAAAAAAAATTGTCACATGTAAAAAACTTGAAAAACTATAAGTGCAATTTTTTAGTAATATCTTGTTAGTTGTAATTTAATTAATTAAAAAAAAATCAAAAATTTTTACACGTCTTCTAACTTCAGTGTCATTAATTTTTAATTAAAATAAAAATTATTTTTTTTTTTTTTTTTATTTTGAATTAAAATAAAAATTATTATTTTTAATATAAATAAAAATTATTTTTTTTTTCTTAATTTTTAATTAAAATTAAAAATATTATTTTTAATAAAAATTATAATTATTTTTTTTATCTTAATTTTTATGAAAAAAATAAACAATTAAAAAAAAAAGATTGTCACATGTAAAAACTTGAAAACTATAGTGCAATTTTTAGTAATATCTTGTTAGTTGTAATTTAATTAATTAAAAAAAAATCAAAAATTTTTACACGTCTTCTAACTTCAGTGTCATTAATTTTTAATTAAAATAAAAATTATTTTTTTTTTTTTTCTTAATTTTGAATTAAAATAAAAATTATTATTTTTAATATAAATAAAAATTATTTTTTTTTTCTTAATTTTTAATTAAAATTAAAAATATTATTTTTAATAAAAATTAAAATTAATATGCAAATAATTATTAATCCAAAAAAATCTCTAGCCAATTAGACATTTGTCCTTGAAATAATAAAATAATAATCTTTATAAAAATGAATTTGACATTGTTAAATAATAATTGTATGTACTTGTTTTAATACCTCTTCTGGGAGGACGTGAATCTCTTTAACGTGCGTCAGAGGTTCATCAATTTATCTCCCCAATATTATCGGTGTCACTGTTATTACTTACAATTATTATTAAAAATGATGATAGTTGATAATAAAAAATAATGTAAATATTTAATATATATTTACAATGAGTAGCAAACAAACTTGTATAGTTTGTCAGGCTAAAAAAAAATAAAATAGTAACCGGTAGAATGACTGATAAAAAAATATTTACAATTAAAAAAATAATAATGAAACAGAGGCCGGTTATTGACCTCGGGCGACCACGTGATCGCGAGCACGGCGTCGATTGAAAGACGTTAATGTAATGTAAGTTACACACTATACACACTATACACATTTATTAGTACTGTGTATAGTAGTGCTGTACTTTTATATGAATCGCAACACACGCGCTGACCCACGCGTATGTTGTCTCCAAATTAGGTATCATTTCCTCGCTCTAACAGTGATTCTCATCAATTATTTTTAAATATAATAATAATAATTATTTATTTTATAGACATTGCATCTAATAAGTAATTTAATCCTTTAAATCAATAATAATAACAATAATAAAGTTTCATGCTATTGCATTATACATATTACAATGTTGTTTTTACACGCAATTCGTAATAATTTAGCTTAGGCATTAAATTATTTATTTTTAAAAATTTATTTCAAAGCAGTACACTGATTAAAGGATTTGTTTATATTTAATAAATATTTATTAATGGTCAATGAATATTTGTTAACTGTTAAAAAATATTTATTTAAAATAAAAAGCAAAAATAGCAATTTTATTTTGACACTTTTTATAATAACTCTATAGCTGGAATTCATGATAATAATTTAATTCATTGAATAAATTGAGGTTTTTAATATTTAAAAATATAAAAGATAATTATGAGCTGTGATAGAATTTGCTATTTTACAATAAACGTTATCATAATGTAATAAATATTTGTTAACTATTAATAATTGTACTTTCTTCCCAAATTAATATTTATTGAATGTTAAAAAATATTTATTAAAATTTAATAAAATAAATAATTGTCTTGAAATAAATAAAAATATTAATAGTTAATAAATCCTTCTATCAGTGTACAGTGATAGAAGGATTTGTTTATATTTAATAAGCTTCATTAACTGTTAATAAATATTTATTAATATATGGTCAATGAATATTTATTAACTGTTAAAAAATATTTATATAAAATAAAAAGCAAAAATAGCAATTTTGTTTTAACACTTTTGTATAATCCTATAGCTGGAATACATGATAATAATAATTCAATTAATTCAATAAATTAACGTTTTTAATATTTAAAAATATAAAAGATAATTACTCTCTGTGATAAAATTTGATAATTTACAATAAATGTTATTATAATGTGATATAATTAATTAATTTTTATTTATAAACAATCTTGATATTATATTTTATTGCAAACTTGACAAATTAACTCAACAAAATATTTATTAACTGTTAATAAATATTTGTTAATGATAAATAAATGTACTTTCCTCTCAAATTTTTTTCTATGTAAATTATGATATTAAATTATAATAATTACACCCAGTAGAACAAGTACACTCAATAGAATATCATATCAGACAGTATGACGATGATATCAAGTGTCAAGTGTTGAAATTAACACTACGGTAAATATAATACAAATTGAACACGTGGACGTAGAGCAAACAGCGACACGTATAGTAGGAATTACTCCAATCCGTATCGTGTATTATACATGATGGGATGTAATGGAAGTTTAGAGAGAAAGCACCTAGCAGTATTATTATATATTATATACAGGTTGTATATCATCTACGGTACCGAGTCAGTGACCGAGGCTCCTACGAGCTGAGTAAGAGGGCTCTTCCCCGCCTGCCCGGTACGGAATCGAGTCAAGATTTTAAAACGCATGCCGAAATGCATCGCCGCATCTTCCCCCACGTACCACGTACACATAATACCATAATACCATAATACCAGCCAAGCTGAGACCCAACCAACACAGCCTATCCTTTCTCTTACATCTTGGATTTATTTTTTTATTACTATACTCTCAATCCTCGTTCTAGTCTTTTATTTTTTTTTTTTAAAAACTCCCAGCGTGACCGGTTGACTCCTCGTACGTGTGCTCCACACATATATTACACCAACAACAACAATCGTGTCATAGTTACAGTCAGATTCAGAGTTGGTCTACAATAGAATAAACTAAAAGTCTCCCGCCAGTTTCTCAACTTCCTTCACCCTCGTAATTTTTAAGTCTTTTTATTTTAATTTTTTTTTTTATCCAGAAAATATCATTTCCTGCAAACAATGTAATTTAAGTTTAGTACTTTGCAAATTTTAAGTACACTGATAGAAGGATTTATTAACATTCAATAAATATTTATTTAGGAGGAAAGTACATTTATTAATAGTTAACAAATATTTATTAACAGTTAATAAATATTTTGTTGAGCTTGCAATAAAATATGATATAAAGATTGCTTATAAATAAAAATCATCTTTATAAATTATTAAAATTAATTATATCACATTGTAATAACGTTTATTGTAAAATAGCAAATTCTATCACAGCTCATAATTATTTTAAATATTAAAAACGTTAATTTATTTAATAAATTAAATTATTATCATGAAGTCCAGCTATAGGGTTATAAAAAGTGTTAAAATAAAATTGCTATTTTTGCTTTTTATTTTAAATAAATATTTTTTAACATTCAATAAATATTTCTCAAATTAACAAGATAAAATTCTTCAAAATTATTTACTTTATTCAAGTAAATTTTTTTTTTTCTGTCCAGGCACTCGACAAATTTTCTTAAGCCAAGAATTTTATTTTTCAGTCAAAAAATTTTTTTTTTCTGTGTTTACTTTAATTTTTACTAAAATTAATTTTTTTTTTTTTGTAGATGGTGGAAATAAATTATCGGTAACAAGCACCGGTTATCGTTATCGGTTATCAATGACAATAATCGCTCACCAATTATCAGCATAATAATAAGCTGTTGTAATCTATACTAATAACAACCCGGTTACTATTTGGAGAAAATAATTGTCAAGCGTAACGTCACTCCTGCAAGATAAAGAGTAGTATACATAAAATAAAATAAAATAAAATAAAATATATACAGAGTTGAGAGTAGTATGGAGCCATAGGAGAGGATAGAGTAAGAGGAATAAAAACACGTTAGCACGCGGCTGAAAGTATATTAACTGCGCATGTACAATGTCCCTGGCGACGGAGCCCCACCATGTGTTGCCCGGCCGCGTGGCGTCCTGATCAATCTCCAGTGTTGCCAGATATACCCGTACGGTCTTTACTTCTGTCCTCTGCATGTTCCTGGTCTCTCCTCGCTTTGTACTGTTTGTTGTGTATGTAGTATGTAGTAGGTAGTGTGTACTATACATTACATACACCATGTCTACAGTCTACACGACCTGGAAGACCCGGCACCCGGCTGGTGATCCCCTTCTACGCTCATCTCCCTCTACTCTTCTCAGTACTCTTCTCCGCGATCCCGCAATCCCTCTACACTCTTATTTGCCATTTAATACTTATTTATATCTATTGTAATTAGTATTTTTTGGAGGTACACGTGGGTATCATTAAATGTCATACCACAATTAAATTAATTATCAAGGAGATTATTTTGGTATTATTGCCGGAATTTTAGAGAGCAGGTTTATTTTTTTCCCCAAGATTAGATCATTTGTTATTTATTTAATTACTTTTTTATTTCTGGTAGGATTTTAATTGTTATTATTGAATATCAACCACGTGTGTAACGTCATCGCGGTCACCTTGAACAAATTGCATTCGTATTGTTGCCGCGAGATGGAAGCGCTGACTGTAAGAAGGAAGTGCAAGGTCGACCGATAAATTCGGAATAAATTTTATCATTATTTTTATAATTAATAATATTATTTTTAAGATAAGTTAAATGATAATTATTATTGTTGTTGTTATTTTATTAATAATATAATTTACTGTCAACAGGTGCTAAACTCAAGAGAGAAAGATCGGAGCCAGATGACCTGTTTTGCGAGGAGAAAATGCTTATAATTGATGGTGAGTAATATCAAGATCGCTAAATAAACTCGATATTTTATCTGAGGTAACTTTACCTCCAAATGTTTTGCTAATCTAATCAATAAGAGGTGAACAGCGTATGCAGATGTAAGACGACAGTCTTACATCTGCATTTTATTTTATTTATTTATTTAGAAAACTCCAATCGGCAATATACATCTATGATATTACAATAAAAGAAAAAAAAAGAAAATATATTTATAAATTAATAATTTTGTAGGAAACGAGAGATAAAATTAATAATTTCATATTTTAAAGATTAACAATAATATATTGTTTATCTGTTGAAATTTATCAGGATTCTAATGAAAGAAAAGATATTTAATTAATTAGTTAATTAATTTATTCAATTAAAAAAAAATTAATTTGAAATTAATTAGACTCCAAAAGCCATATTTATAAAGTATCCATAGGTACCACCGTAGAAACTTAAGTAATGATACCAGATATTCACAATTTTATTTTATCATTTATCCTTATTTCAGAAATACCAGAATTAATAATAATAAAATAAAAAAAAATTTTTAATTAAATTACAACTAAAAAGATATTTTAAAAAATTGCACTTATAGTTTTTCAATTTTTTAACAAGTGATATTTTTTTTTTTTTTTTTAATTGTTTAATTGAAATTTTTTGGATAAAAAAATTTCTAAAAATTTTGAAATGCCAGCTAACTTCATTGTCATAAAAAAAAATATATTAACAAATAAAACGACTTATAGAATAGTGGGGCGTGATCCAGAGTGTAGACCGTATAGTAAGAGTGTGAGAAATCCGTAGCCGTCGACGGGGTGATAACGGAAGGGGGGCGTAGACGATACAGACAACGACAACGACTGCGACGTCATCCTCAGGTTGTACGTACTGCCGAGACTCAACCGCCGGCTACTCGAGTTTAGATTTCAGTCGACAATTCGCGACTCACGCGCGATCACCTTCCATCATTGCTCTCCTTATCATTACAATTAATTTTTTTTTAATTAATTAATTAATTAATTGGTTGATTGATAATCAATCGAAGGTAGACCTCGGCTCAATTTAAATTTATTTAGTGACTGTAATTATGATCAGAGCACCGAGGAGATAACAGACTCAAAGGTCAATGATAAATTAATTTTTTTGCGAGTGAATTTATTGAAAATTATTCAATAACAGGATTAGAGTTTTTAATTATTTTATTTTATTTTATTAAAAAGTGACATGCAAGTTTGTATTTAAGCGACAAGAATTTAAAAAAAAAATGGGAATGCTGCTGATGACGCAAGATGGTGCACCACTGATGAACTTTGCCGTGACAAAGCCGACCCATATTGGGTTGAATAGTTGTACCAGCGGGGAAGCAAGAGTACCCGTTGAAGGTGCTGATATTAATATTGATAACGAGACGGTCGGTATGTGTAAGAGGTTTCCGGTCGTCGGGATTATCAGTGCAGATAATAATTATTTAAGAATAAATAAAAATAATAATATTGAAAATGGCTGTGAGGATGATGAAGAGCTAGACTGCCGGATGCCACCACCTCCGAAAAAAAAATGGATGCGACACTACCTGCTGGGTGAGATCTACATATAACAGTAGATGTGTTATTTTCTATGTCACTGTCTTGATAATGAATTAATTTTTATGAAAATGAAGTTAGCCGACATTTCAAAATTTTTAGAAATTTTTTATTGAAAAAATTTCAATAAAACATTTAAAAAAAAAAAATTGTCACATGTAAAAAACTTTAAAAAATCTAATAAGTGCAATTTTTTAAGAAATATTTTTTTAATTTTTTATTTATTTTTATTAATTAAATTACAATTAAAAAGATATTTTAAAAAATTGCACTTATAATTTTTTAAGTTTTTTACAAGTGCAATTTTTTTTTCGAATTTTTTTATTGAAATTTTTTCAATAAAAAAATTTCTAAAAATTTTTTAATGTCGGCTAACTTCATTTTCATTTCTAACTTCAGTGTCATTAATTTTTTTTTTAGTTATAGTTAAATTAGCGATAAAATATTCGGATTATTTTGAATACAATAAAGAAAATTTTATAAATTTAAATTCTCTGGGAATAAAAAAATATTTAATTTATTCAGTGATTTTATTATTGACACTGAATAGAAGAGTATTAAATTTATTAGTACAAGGACACATTTAGTAATTTTAGATTTTTAGATGTCTAAATCGGTTAGATTGAAATTCCGAATAAGATCAACTGATGCGAACAAATGGGTGTTTTATTTTCGACCAACAGTGAGCGGCTCGGATATAAAATAAGAATAAAATAACAAATTATCGGGTATTAAATCATTTTTAAAGCTCTGGAATATTCCGTACATGTCCTCAGACATAAAAATAAATAAAAATAAATAAAGAGCAGAAATTTTTATAGCCTGGAGGTAAAATCCTCGTCGGACTTATATCAAGGCCGAATTTATCTGTCTAAAAGTTTTAATTAATTTTTTTAGGTCATGAATAAAATTTATTCTGATGCATAAAAATTTTATTTTATTTTAATTAACGAGTCATTTAAAAATAATAGTAATAATAATAATTATAAATAAAAAAATAAATAAATAGTTGAGGAGTATTTTACTTAGGAGTGAATGGGTTTAGTTTTATAATTCAAAGCTCCCCACTTAAGGTAATTCCAGTGGAACGGCATGACCAGTCACGTGGCTGTCTTACCGTTTCTCTAGCAGCTTCTCTCTGCCACCCGCGAATTATTTATCCCCCACCCTTGATAGGTTCTCCCTCTTGAAATAATTCCTGTACGAGGTACGAGAATTGCAGCGCATATAATAGGAGTATAGACACATATAACACATATAACACGTACTATTTATTTCCCCTCACGTCATTCTGTCTGTCTCAACCACGTGTTACTCCCACTTTAATCGACTAGACTGTGATGCCGGGGACGGGGAACTCCAGACAAGACGACTATATACAGTTACCTTAAATAAATTATTTAACAATTCAATAGTTAAATTATTTATTTAATCTACTTTTTTTCGGCTAATCATCCATTATACGATTCTTTTTACTTATTACTTATTATTGTAATTATTAATTTTTATAAGCTAAACTTTGTTTTTGCTATTTATTTTATTTTACTTTTTTATTTATGGATTTGATAAAAATGATTTATACTTAATTGTGGGTAAAAAAAAAATTACGGCATTGCAGTTGTGATAAATGTTGGAAGGTCATGTGATGACTAGAAAAATGTATGTTAAGATATCTTTTATTTTTTTTTCTTTTTATTGATTAAAATTTTATTAAATATGTAATTAATTTTATTGAATTTATTTTTAACTATTTAATAAAATTATTTTGTTAGAATTTTTTTAAATAAATTAATTAAAAACATTTTTTTAGTAAATAAATTTAAAAAAAAATTATAAAATGCGTTAAATAAATAAATTGAGTTAAAAAAATTTTTTTTAATAAATAAATTGGATAATTCTTTACATAAATTAATTTAAAAAAAATTTTTAATTAATAAGTTAGAAAATTTTTTAAATAAATAAATTAATTAAAAAAAAAAAAATTAAGACCGGAAATAATGTATTTTATTTGTAATTTCATTCTTGGTTTAAAAGAGCCCTTGATCCAGGAATAGATTGAGTAATGCTTAAGGATTGCCAAGTTTGTTAGTACATGAATGAGACCCTCGGGTTGTTGGGATGAGTGAGTACGTGCTGGTTAATTTAAACCAAAGACCATAAAATAAAATAAAATAAAAATAAAAAAGCAATGGAATGTCTTTGCTAATGGCATTCTCTTATAAAATAAAAAGACTGATCATTGATGACCGATCAATTGAACTCTACCGTCATTCACTTTATATATTCTCCATGCTAATTGATTAATTTATTTATTTGCAGAAGAAGATCCTCTGGACATTGCCAGGTCTAATGGGAACCACGCGACAGGTCTGAGGACCAGCCCGGTGATTGCCAGCACTCGTTCTCTCGCAAGCCAAAATTCCATAACCCACATTACTAGCCATCCCCAGCACCAGCAGCACCCTCACCATCATCACAACTATCAGCAGCCTCAAACTCAGATCCAGCATCACAATAATCACAACAGTGCTTCGCACAATCATTATGTCGATAATTATAATTCTAATCACACTGCTGGCAATGGCGGCGCGTCTTTGTCTACCGATGAGTCTGCTCAAGACAATAAGAAGCATCGAAATGGGTCAGTCTTTTTTTTTTTTTTTTTATATCAATTATTGAAATTGAAGTAATAAAAAATATTTATATCAATGGTAATTTGTTTTGTTTTTTAGACCGTGTGTAATTAGATCTGGAACAAGAGAAGTTCATAATAAATTAGAGAAAAATAGGCGAGCACATCTTAAAGAATGTTTCGAGTTATTGAAGAAACAATTACCAGCTCAAGATGAAAAAAAATCTTCTAATTTATCGATTCTTCATGCAGCCAACAGACACATACAAGTAATTTTTTTTTTTATTTATAATTACAATAAAAAAAAATAATACTTAAATTCTTGAAGATTTTTTTTTAGTTTATTTGTTATATTATAAATAAAATTTTGCTTTATTAAATAATGACTTTTGTTAAATTGCACTGTACTTTTTTTAACTATTGACATTTTTGAAGAAATAAGCTCATCCCGATGTTACACTCATCAAGAGCTTTCATTTGAGTACCCACATACATTTTTGATATATTTTTCATATATATACATATATGTAATATATATAAATATATGAAAAGTTGATGTAGGTACTCAAATAAAAGGTCTCGATGAGTGTAATGTCAAGATGAGCTTATATCTTTAAGAATGTCAATATTTCACAAAATACAATGTAATTTCTTAATTATTGACATTTTTTAATGTATAAGCTCATCATGATGTTACACTCATCGAGACCTTTCATTTGAGTATCCACATGGCAATTTTTATATATTTTATATATATAGTATTTCTGATATATATAAATATATAAAATATATGAAAAATTGATGTGGATACTCAAATGAAAGGTCTCAATGAGTGTAACATTAAAATGAGCTTATATCTTTAAAAATGTCAATAGTTTACGAGATACAGGGTCATTTCTTAATTATGTATCTAGAGATAGAGCATTTTTGAATGCTTCTTAACTTTTTGTTGGAATTGTTGGAAAATAAATTTGTTATAGGTTAAATTAAAGATAATTTCATAAGCTTTGAAATGAAGCATTACTCGACTAATTAATTAATATAGTAACAAAATTCTATGTGAATTTTGACACAAGGGCCAATGATAATTCAATAGATAGATTTTATAAAATTTCCGTGTGAATAAAATTTTTGTATACTGCCCTAAATGTTACGGTCAACTAGATTTCACTTAAGTATATTTTTACGTCTGTAAACTGGTGGTAGAAGTAAGTAAGCTCGTCTACGCTGTCTAATAAAAGTAAAATGCTCAACTTAGATCACTTAATTTAAAAATAACTATTAAATCGTATCAAATCGCACTCTAAATATTTTTTTTTTTACTGTCCCAATATTTGTAATTTAAAATATAATTGCAATATATTTTAATATTATATCAGTAATTTAAAAAAAATTATTTAGAAAATGAGATAAATTATAGAATAAATTTTTTTCAAGTGCTGGATATCAACCAGATGTAAAATAAATAATTTAAACTCTTAAATTATTTATTAAAATTATTATAATAAACATTTTGAATTGCAAAAATATTTATGGAGGCTGCAGATGTTGAGGATATAAATTTTACAAGGGAAAGAGTATCAAGTAGCACTAGTTTGTTTAAACGTCAGCCAAAAATGACATCCTCGATCCACGCAAACTCAATAGCGATCGTTGTCATCGCCTATTATGTGTGCAGATATGTGTTTGTGTTTTTATATACATATATATTTATATATATAATAAGGTATAAGATAGAAGATAGCTCGTATAAAGCGCGTGCGTGATGACCTTTGTTTCCTTTCTTTTTTAGTCAGTACCGCGGGTACCACGTGTTTAGTAAGTGAATTATGTGTGTCAGCGTGCACTGCCACGTGTATTCACTGCTCAATGCTCCAATATATTTACATTTATGAGTATAATGTACAATATGTAGCTTACAGTTGCTAATCTTGGATGATAGCCAGCGGGCATATATATGTACTCTACTTTGTTGATGGAATAAATCGTTAAAGGATTTATCTTGACAAGAATTTTTTTTTTTAATGCTTTCAGGTCCTAGTGAGAAAGGAGAGAGACAACGAGCACGAGATGGAGAAATTGGCACGTGAAAAAATAGCGTCTCAACAGAGGATAGTTGCGTTGAAAAAAGAGCTGGCTGGTAGGTGGCCACATCTTGATTTTAGCCAGATATTAAAGGAACCAAATCTTGCTGTTGATACTTCTGGATCTAAAAATCGTAGGTTTATTTTTAATTTTAATATTATAATATTATTTAATTAAAAACACTTGATAATTTTTTTTTAAATCAACTAGCTGTAAAAAATTAAATTTACAATTTTTTAGAGCCTCTAGACATGAAATTTTTTTTTATAAATTATTAATATTAAAATATTTATTAATTAAAGATACTTCATAATTATTTTTTTGTAAAATAAACTAGCTTTAAAAAATTAAAAAAAAAATAAAAATTACAATTTTTTTAAAGCTTCTAGATATTAAATTTTTTTTTATAAATTATGAATATTAAAATATTTGTTAATCAACGACACTTAATAATTTCTTGTAAAGTAAACTAGCTCTAAAAAATAAAAAAAAAAATTTATTTACAATTTTTTAGAGCTTCTACACGGAAAGAACAGGATGACACTGGATACCATCTCAGATTATACTCAGTGACATCTGAGGTGAAGAAAATTTTCAGATGGTAGAATTATACTGAATAATATCTGGATTATACTAGCTACTATCTGAAAATTATTTTTTTCACTCGGTGTAATCTGGGATTATATCCAGTATAATCTTGTTCTTTCCGTGTAGACATGGATTCTTTTTTTATAAATTTTTCTTTTCATAAAATATTTGTTAAAAAATTATTAAAAAATATATTTTTTTTTACCAGCTGAAGCAATGGATGTTGATGTATCAGCGGGCTTAGCGCGTGGTGGTACCCGTTACAGCAGCACAAGTAGTCTGAGCAGCGCAGCAACAGCAAACTCACCCCAAAATCATCACCAGTCTACAAGTACCGTGACACAATCAACATCAATGCAAAATCAAACAGCAACGGCGGCTGTTGTTTGTCAAACACAAGGTTTGAATCTTGCTCAAAGCTCTAGAGAAAGTCCTCCAACTAGTTCTAGTCCTGGAGCATCAACACCTAGCATTCCTACTCCTGCTCAGGTAAAATTTAAATTGCTTTTAAATTAAATTATTTTATTAATTAAAATTAATTTCTAACAGGAGAAAGTAGCGTCTCCAACAGTGGTACAGCAGCAACCGCATCAACTCCATTTACCGATAAGTGCCCAGATGTTAAACACGAGCCAGGGCTTGGCGACAATAGTCCCTACGCTGCAACACCTCGGTCCGGGGCTGAGAGTCATACCTGGAGACACACGGCAACTGCTGGTGACACACACCACTGGCAGCAATGAGACGCGACCGCTGACATTGGCTGTGCAAAACTCAACGGACCAGTCTCCGCGGCCACTTATCGCAGTTCAATCGCAAGCTGGCTCAGATCCAAGACCAGTAGCCCTGGTGGTGCACTCGACGGCGGCGAATGACAACCGCGTTACCTTTGTTCATTCGAATCTGTCTAATCAAGAGCGACCGTTGGCTCTGGCTGTTCAGTCTGGTGCCAGCGATGTTCGTCCTGTTACTTTTGTACACTCCGGTAATGAGGGGCGACCTTTAGTCCTCGCTACTCATCCTCCACCTCTTAATGTTACAAGTATGTTTTATTTATTTATTATTTTAATATTAACAAGTATTATCTTTCAAGCTAGATTATAATTTTTTTCATTAGTATGTGAACATTATTTAAGACACTTTATCTCCTAAAATATTGAAGATAATCCCATAGTATAAAAACATTTTTTATAGGAAATTTTATAAGCTACAATTTTTAGTCTTATGTTTTTTTTTCAAAAATCGATATTTCAAGAGTTATTATCATTTTTTTTAGTGACTAAATAATGATTTTTCATTTTTAATTATATGAGCATTATTTAAGTAATTATATCTCATAAAATATTGAAGATAGTCCCATAGTATAAAAACATTTTTTATAGGAAATTTTATAAGCTACAATATTGATCTCTTATAATTTTTTGATAAAATAAATATTTCAAGAGTTACATCCATTTTTATGATGACTAGATCACAATTATTTATTTTTTTAAGTTATAAATTAAATTACACCTCCTAAAATATTGGAGATAACCCCATAATATAAAAATGTTTTTTATAGAAAATTTCATAAGCTACAATTTTGGTCTCATGATTTTTTTCAAAAATCAATATTTCAAAAGTTACAGCCATTTTTATAATGACTAGATAACAATTTTTCATTTTTAATTTTTTGAGCACTAATTAAGTAATTATATTTCCTAAAATATTGAAGACAGCCCCATAGTATAAAAACATTTTTTATAGAAAATTTCATAAGCTACAATTTTGACCTCATGATTTTTTCCAAAAATCAATATTTCAAGAGCTATAGCCATTTTTAAACTAAATAGTAATTTGATATTTTATTAAAAAATTAATTATTATTTTACAGCAGCACAAACAAGAATAAGATCTGGAGAAACACAAACGACACACAAAATCGGAGGAGTAACATTAGTGGGTGGAAATGGATCCGAGTTAACGCGACTGCCCGGTGGAGCAGAATTGAACATTTTACCTGCAAATGGTGTGTTTCGTTCCGTAAAAACGCAATCACTTGCTGTTCAAGGAGGTGATTAACTAAAAAACTACTTACATATTATTTTTAATTAAATATAAATTTTTATTTCATGAATTATTTTAATTATCAGGACTAACACTGAGCCACGCTGGAGTATCACTGCAAACTTCATCAGGAAAGCAAGGGGTGATGCAAAACGTGCCTACCAGCGAAGGGATCGCCCACATAGTGGGCCAACACACATCACTGTCTGGCCTAACACCCATCGTAACACCAATGACGGTGGTGTCTCAGGGCAACAACCAAGTAACTGCCCACATTCTCGCCCCGTCTAACCTCACCGGGAAGATGATCACCACGCCGATTCTCAAGTCTGTTGGGCAAGTGCCGCTAGTTAATGCCCAGTATCTAAACACAACGACAATCGTTAAACCCGTTGTTGTCGTCAGTACGTCAGCCAACGCAACATCACCCACAATAACTTCCACAACACAGCCTTCCGTAACGAGTAATTCTACTGTCTGACAAAATCGTAAAAAAATTAAGATCGTCTGAAACATTTATTTTTATTTTAATTCAGCATTTTTTTTCACTGACACTTTTTTTAATATTTATCTTAATATTATGTCGCAATTAATTAGTAATAATTAACAAACTGAAATAATAATCTGAATAATAATTATTAGTAAAAATAATAATATCGCGTTGTATATTAAAAATTCTATTTTTTTTTCCAAGTCCAAAAATAATTTTTAGTATGAAGAAAATTTTTTTTTTTGCATTTCTTCATGTTTCATACAAAAATATGTTGAAAAAAATTTTTTTCTTCAAGCTAAAAATTTTTTTGGACTTGGTAAAAAAAATAGAATTTTTATTATTACTTGGGGGAAAAAAAAAAAAAAAAACGTCCAGATGAAGCCGTCGAGTTTTTAATTTTAATTTTTCTTTTTTTTTTTATTAACTAATTAATTGCGACAATGTTAAAAGCAATTGATAAATAGGACTGCTGATCATTTATTTTATTAACAATAAATAATCTAAATACGCCAGCAAGTATTTTTCGTATTAGTTTTATTAAAAATGAATAATTTTTTGCTTTTGTGAAGGTTTAGTTTTTAATAATTAGGGAAGGGACTCTGATATAATGTATATTTATTATTTTTACTCAAGGTAAAAAATTATAATTCCAAAAAGTAGTTTTTAATTAGTTACAATTTAATTGTACTCGATAATTAAGTACTGTACCAGTGGTTATAAATTTAATTTATAATTAACATTTTTTTTTTTTAATAATTAATTAACAATCATTATTTATAACTGGTTACGCAGCTGAAGAACAAAGAAAATTGAAAAATCAGGAAAAAAACACTAATATATATATATATATATATATATATATATATATATATATATT